ACGCCCACCAGCTCCCTCTGCGCCCTGCCCCCCACACCCACCAGCTCCCCTGTACTGTGCCCCCCACACCCACCAGCTCCCCCTGCGCCCTGCCCCCATACCCACCAGCTCCCTCTGCGCCCTGCCCCCCACACCCACCAGCTCCCCCTGCGCCCTGCCCCCATACCCACCAGCTCCTCCTGCGCCCTGCCCCCCACGCCCACCAGCTCCCCCTGCGCCCTGCCCCCATACCCACCAGCTCCCCCTGCGCCCTGCCCCCCGCGCCCACCAGCTCCCCCTGCCACCCCCCCCCCCGCACCCACCAGCTCCCCCTGCGCCCTGCCCCCCGCACCCACCAGCTCCCTCTGCGCCCTGCCCCCCACGCCCACCAGCTCCCCCTGCGCCCTGCCCCCCACGCCCACCAGCTCCCCCTGCGCCCTGCCCCCCGCGCCCACCAGCTCCCCCTGCGCCCTGCCCCCCGCGCCCACCAGCTCCCCCTGCGCCCTGCCCCCATACCCACCAGCTCCCCCTGTGCCCTGCCCCCCACGCCCACCAGCTCCCCCTGCGCCCTGCCCCCCACGCCCACCAGCTCCCCCTGCGCCCTGCCCCCCGCGCCCACCAGCTCCCCCTGCGCCCTGCCCCCCGCGCCCACCAGCTCCCCCTGCGCCCTGCCCCCATACCCACCAGCTCCCCCTGCGCCCTGCCCCCCGCGCCCACCAGCTCCCCCTGCCCCCCCCCCCCGCACCCACCAGCTCCCCCTGCGCCCTGCCCCCCGCACCCACCAGCTCCCTCTGCGCCCTGCCCCCACACCCACCAGCTCCCCCTGCGCCCTGCCCCCCGCGCCCACCAGCTCCCCCTGCGCCCTGCCCCCCGCGCCCACCAGCTCCCCCTGCGCCCTGCCCCCGCACCCACCAGCTCCCCCTGCGCCCTGCCCCCCACACCCACCAGCTCCCCCTGCGCCCTGCCCCCCGCGCCCACCAGCTCCCCCTGCGCCCTGCCCCCCGCGCCCACCAGCTCCCCCTGCGCCCTGCCCCCGCACCCACCAGCTCCCCCTGCGCCCTGCCCCCCACGCCCACCAGCTCCCCCTGCGCCCTGCCCCCCGCGCCCACCAGCTCCCCCTGCGCCCTGCCCCCGCGCCCACCAGCTCCCCCTGCGCCCTGCCCCCCACGCCCACAGGCTCCCCCTGCGCCCTGCCCCCCGCGCCCACCAGCTCCCCCTGTCCCCTGCCCCCCACGCCCACCAGCTCCCCCTGCGCCCTGCCCCCGCGCCCACCAGCTCCCCCTGCGCCCTGCCCCCCACGCCCACCAGCTCCCCCTGCGCCCTGCCCCCGCGCCCACCAGCTCCCCCTGCGCCCTGCCCCCCGCGCCCACCGGCTCCCCCTGTGCCCTGCCCCCCACGCCCACAGGCTCCCCCTGCGCCCTGCCACCCCCCCCGCGCCCACCGGCTCCCTCTGCGCGCTGCCCCCCACGCCCACCGGCTCCCCCTGCGCCCTGCCCCCCACGCCCACAGGCTCCCCCTGCGCCCTGCCCCCCACGCCCACCAGCTCCCTCTGCGCCCTGCCCCTCCACACCCACCAGCTCCCCCTGCGCCCTGCCCCCACACCCACCAGCTCACCATGGCCGCCCCCCACACCCACCAGCTCCCCCTGCGCCCTGCCCCCACACCCACCAGCTCCCCCTGCGCCCTGCCCCCCACACCCACCAGCTCCCCCTGCGCCCTGCCCCCATACCCACCAGCTCCCCCTGCGCCCTGCCCCCCACGCCCACCGGCTCCCCCTGTGCCCTGCCCCCCGCGCCCACCGGCTCCCCCTGCGCCCTGCCCCCCACGCCCACCAGCTCCCCCTGCGCCCTGCCCCCACGCCCACCAGCTCCCCCTGAGCCCTGCCCCCTCACGCCCACCAGCTCCCCCTGAGCCCTGCCCCCCACGCCCACCAGCTCCCCCTGCGCCCTGCCCCCCACGCCCACCAGCTCCCCCTGCGCCCTGCCCCTCACACCCACCAGCTCCCCCTGCGCCCTGCCCCCCACGCCCACCAACTCACCATGGCCGCCCCCCCGCGCCCACCAGCTCCCTCTGCCCCCCCCCCCGCACCCACCAGCTCCCCCTGAGCCCTGCCCCCCGCGCCCACCAGCTCCCCCTGCCCCCCCCCCGCACCCACCAGCTCCCCCTGAGCCCTGCCCCCCGCGCCCACCAGCTCCCCCTGAGCCCTGCCCCCCGCGCCCACCAGCTCCCCCTGCGCCCTGCCCCCCACGCCCACCAGCTCCACCTGCCCCCCCCCCCCGCACCCACCAGCTCCCCCTGAGCCCTGCCCCCCCGCGCCTACCAGCTCCCCCTGCGCCCTGCCCCCATGCCCACCAGCTCCCCCTGCGCCCTGCCTCCCGCGCCCACAGGCTCCCCCTGCGCCCTGCCCCCCACGCCCACCAGCTCACCATGGCCGCCCCCCACACCCACCAGCTCCCCCTGCGTCCTGCCCCCACACCCACCAGCTCCCCCTGCGCCCTGCCCCCCACGCCCACAGGCTCCCCCTGCGCCCTGCCCCCCATGGCCACCAACTCACCATGGCCGCCCCCCACACTCACCAGCTCCCCCTGCGCCCTGCCCCCCACACCCACCAGCTCCCCCTGCGCCCTGCCCCCACACCCACCAGCTCCCCCTGAGCCCTGCCCCCCACACCCACCAGCTCCCCCTGCGCCCTGCCCCCACACCCACCAGCTCCCCCTGAGCCCTGCCCCCCACACCCACCAGCTCCCCCTGCGCCCTGCCCCCCACGCCCACCACCTCCCCCTGCGCCCTGCCCCTCACACCCACCAGCTCCCCCTGCGCCCTGCCCCCACACCCACCAGCTCCCCCTGAGCCCTGCCCCCCACACCCACCAGCTCCCCCTGCGCCCTGCCCCCCACGCCCACCACCTCCCCCTGCGCCCTGCCCCTCACACCCACCAGCTCCCCCTGCGCCCTGCCCCCCACGCCCACCAACTCACCATGGCCGCCCCCCGCGCCCACCAGCTCCCTCTGCCCCCCCCCCCCCGCACCCACCAGCTCCCCCTGAGCCCTGCCCCCCGCGCCCACCAGCTCCCCCTGCCCCCCCCCCCCCCCCCGCACCCACCAGCTCCCCCTGCGCCCTGCCCCCACGCCCACCAGCTCACCATGGCCGCCCCCCACACCCACCAGCTCCCCCTGCGCCCTGCCCCCACGCCCACCAGCTCCCCCTGAGCCCTGCCCCCACGCCCACCAGCTCCCCCTGCGCCCTGCCCCCACGCCCACCAGCTCACCATGGCCGCCCCCCACACCCACCCTGGTCTGGGTGTGCCTCCGTCTCCCACGCGCACCCCAGCCTTGGAGCGCCTGCTTGGAGCACCTCCCTGGCCCCCTAGTGCCTGTTTACACCTGGGTGGTGGTGACCACTCTCTGGCCAAGGCCCTCCTTGGTCTCCAGCCTCCGCCTTCTCTCTGGAGCTCCAGGCAGTGGCTCCCCTCCCCCTGGACTCTGGGCTGGGAACTGCCAGGGTCCTGAGGCGGCCAGCAGGGCCCTCATGACTTGCTCCAAACCCACCGTACCATCTCTCCAGCCTCATGTACAAATCCAGGCCCAACATCCGGGAAGCCCTGCTGCACCCTTCAGCCACACCCAGGTTAGAGTCTGAACAGCAGCCTCCCGAGCAGCCCGAGAGCTGAATTTCTGTCCTCCGTGGACGGCACTAGGGTGGATGTGGAAGCTTCGGGAGGTAAGGACAAGCAGGAGGAAATGGTCTGCCAAGGCTGTTCCTGAGGTGCCCAGAGGGGCTGGTGTGAACTGCTGCTGCCAGGCACAGTGTGAGCCCGCAATGACGGCGTGAGGTGTGATCACAGAGGTGTGAGGTGAGGGTGAACCTGGGCTCACGCAGGGGGAAGGTGGCCTAGGTTCACTCTGAGGAGAATGTGGGCCTGGAATCACCAGAGCTGGTCTTGAGCGTGAGAACCCTCGGAGGTGTGTTTCGCCTCGGTCCCTGGCGCCCTGCCCTCAGCTCGGCCCTTCTAGCCTCAAGCATCTGCTCTGCACCCAGAGGAGGTGAGGCGCTCTCAACACCTTTCCAGCCTGGGTGCCGCTCCAGTGTGCATGCCTTACCGTGAGCACATGCCTGGTGTGCATGCATGTGTTTGTGTGACACAGGCCTTGTATGCATGCCCACATTTGTGTGCACACATGCCTTAGTGTGTGCATGTTTCTGTGCACACATGCCTCATGTGTATGCACACCTTTGTGTGTGCCTGCCTTAATGTGCAAACATGCCTAGTGTGCATGCATGCGTTTGTGTGCACACATGCCTAGTGTGCGTGCACACCTTTGTGTGTGTCTGCCTTAATGTGCATTCATGCCTAGTGTGAATGCATTTTGTGTGCATACATGCCTAGTGTGCATGCATGTTTGTGTGTACACATGCCTAGTGTGTGTGCATGTGTTTGTGTGTACACATGCCTAGTGTGCATGCATATGTTTGTGTGTACACATGCCTAGTGTGTGTGCATGTGTTTGTGTGTAACATGCCTAGTGTGTGCGCACACCTTTGTGTGTGCCTGCTGTAATGTGCACACATGCCTCGTGTGTGTATGTATCCTGGTGTTTGCACGCCTTTGCAGGTGTCTGTGTCGGTGTATGGTGTGTGCACATGTGTTTGTGTGCAGCAAGGCCTGTGAGACCTGGGATGAGCTGCGCTGTCATCTGCAGCCTGTCCTGGGGCGTTGTGCCTCTGTGGCCTTAGCTCTGTGGAGCCTGTCCCTGAGTTCCCCCGAGTTTCCCTGCTGCCCTTGGCAGCTCTCTTTCTAGTTCACTGGCTCATTCTTCACCCACAGACCTATCTGCTGATCAGGAAGAGGTCCAGGGTCATTTCAGTGCTGCAGACTTGGTGATGGACACAAACAGCTGCACTGGACATCACACACACACACACTCACACACACACACACAGCCTGGCTGTGTGGCCCACAGCCCTGGAGTCCACTCTTAGGCTTCTGAGTGAAGAGAGTTTTGCTGAGGGCTGCAGGGCTGATGGGAGTCTGTGGACAGAGGCAGCAAGAGGAGAACCTGGCTGAGGAGCTGTCCCCAGACGCGGTCCCCAGACGCGGTCCCCAGACGCCGTCCCCAGATGCGGTCCCCAGACGCGGTCCCCAGACGTGGTCCCCAGACGCGGTACCCAGATGTGGTCCCCAGACGCCGCCCCAGACGCTGTCCCCAGGTGCCGTCCCCAGACGCGGTCCCCAGACGCGGTCCCCAGACGCGGTCCCCAGACGCTGTCCCCAGACGCCGCCCCAGACGCCGCCCCAGACGCCGCCCCAGACGCCGTCCCCAGACGCCATCCCCAGACGCGGTCCCCAGATGCAGTCCCCAGATGCTGTCCCCAGACACCGTCCCCAGATGTGGTCCCCAGATGCTGTCCCCAGACGCCGCCCCAGACGGTGTCCCCAGACGGTGTCCCCAGACGCCGCCCCAGACGCCGTCCCTAGACGTGGTCCCCAGACGCGCCTTGTCACCCAGGACTCGGGACCCACATGGTCCCTGGAGTACAGTAGGGTGGGATCAGAGAGGTGGGAACAGAGAGGGACACACCAGAGAAAGATACAGAGACGCACAGAGAGACAGTGAGAGACACAGACAGAGAGAGACACAGAGACCAGGAGGCAGAGAGGCAGCTGTGGCCAGGGCCTGAGGTGTTCGCCGATGCCCCTCTCTAACAGTAGTGCCGGTGCTGGTTGTGAGCTTGGGTTTCTCCCTCTGCCTTACTCTCTCGTGGTGGAGGGCTTACCACGGCAGCCTGGGGCAGGCCGGGCTTTGCCACTGAACACTTCCATCAGTAAGGCCGCACTCAGCTGTGGTGGCTTCCAGCTCATCCTGGGAGCGTCCCCGCAGCCTCTTGGCTACATGGTGCTTGCCGGAAGTGTCTCCCTGTCTGCCCACAGGCCTGTCCTCCTCCCTCCTCCATCGTGGTGGTCAGACGCTTGAGGCTCCAACGGCTGTGAGGGCTCCTCGCTGGCTGGGCTGGGCAGGCAGAAACTTCTACCCCTTCTACATCCGCCGTGACCTTGGCGTGCCGTGGTGGGGGGTGGCCCCTCTAGCACCTTATCTGTGTGTCAGTCATGCCATGCCCCTCACCTCCCCAAAGCCAAGAGGCAGGCTCCCCTTTACCTCAACCATAGTGGTCCACGTTTCTTTTCAAGCCTCTGAGCAGAGGGGCCTCGGGTTTCAATGAGCACTTTGACATGATCCAGGGCCCGACTGTAAGCAGGATGGAGGGAGATCTCGCTCTGCCTCCGTTAGGAGGCCCTGTGACCGTGCCGCAGACACCGCCCGCGCAGCTGGGCCCCTTCTCTCCCTGACAAAGCTGACAGTGTTCCAAGAGAGGAATCGGTTGCTCTCAGAACTGTCTAAGCTGAGCAGGATCTCAAGAGAGCCGACCGATGTGGGGATGACCTCTGTCATCCTGGCAGGCACCCACGGATTCCATCAGACAAAGCAGAACTCAGGAAATGGGGCAGATGTGGGCAGGTCGGGGCACGAGGCAGGTGCGTCTGTCGGCCTCACACGGGGGTCACAGCCAGCAAGGTGCAGGATGGAGGCTTTGCTGCCCGCCGTAACTGCCTGCTGTCTCCATGGGCTGAGCTCTGTGGACAGCCGGACAGCCGCCCGGGGCACACGCGCGTGCCTCCCGCCCCGGCTCTGCAAGGCGCACTCGGCAGGGACCAGCTGCCCAGAGCAACTGCTCTCAGATGTGGGCAGCATGTAAATCGGCCGTGCACTCACAGATAAAAAAGGAAACCCAAGCTGCTTTTACGTCTGTTGAAGCAGCCTGCATTTTAAGACTGGGGGCTGCTCGTTGCTCACGGGCCAAGGGTTTTCCCAGGCCGACGGTTTCAGGGGTGGCCTTGAGACAGGCTGACGGTTTCAGGGCTGGCCTTGAGACAGGGAAAGGGCCAACCAGTCCCACTGACCGGCAGCCTGAAGAAGCAGAGAGACCTGGGCAAAGAGAGTGGAATTTAAACCCTGCTGCCTCCCTGAGGGTTACCACCAAGATGATCCACCAGGTCCACGCTTCTGCCCTAAGAGCTCTGCGCAGAGGGATGAGGAACTGGACAAGCAGGTAGGGGCTGCCTTGGCCTCCTGGAATCCGTTCACAGGGCAGCAGCCACCCACACCCTGGGGCCCGCCCACACGAGACCCCGCCCACACGAGACCACGCCCGCTCCCGGGCCCTGCCCACTCCGGGGCCCGCCCACACGAGACCACGCCTACTCCCGGGCCCCGCCCACTCCGGGCCCGCCCACACGAGACCACGCCCACCCCGGGCCCCACCCACACGAGACCACGCCCACACGAGACCCCGCCCACACGAGACCACGCCCACTCCCGGGCCCCCCCCACTCCGGGGCCCGCCCATACGAGACCACGCCCACACGAGACCACGCCCACCCCGGGCCCCACCCACACGAGACCCCGCCCACACGAGACCACGCCCACTCCCGGGCCCCACCCACACGAGACCACGCCCACACGAGACCCCGCCCACATGAGACCACGCCCGCTCCCGGGCCCTGCCCACTCCGGGGCCCGCCCACACGAGACCACGCCCACACGAGACCATGCCCACTCCCGGGCCCCGCCCACTCCGGGCCCGCCCACACGAGACCACGCCCACTCCCGAGCCCCACCCACTCCGGGGCCCGCCCACACGAGACCACGCCCACACGAGACCACGCCCACCCGGGCCCCACCCACACGAGACCACGCCCACACGAGACCCCGCCCACACGAGACCACGCCCGCTCCCGGGCCCCGCCCACTCCGGGGCCCGCCACACGAGACCACGCCCACACGAGACCACGCCCGCTCCCGGGCCCGCCCACACGAGACCACGCCCACTCCCGGGCCCCGCCCACTCCCAGGCCCCGCCCGCACGAGACCACGCCCACACGAGACCACGCCCACTCCCGGCCCCGCCCACTCCGGGGCCCGCCCACACGAGACCACGCCCGCTCCCAGGCCCCGCCCACTCCGGGGCCCGCCCACCCTCGGGCCACTCTCCCCCTGCACATGCCATAGTCGTGTGGTCCCCTGCCAGTCACTGTCCTCGGGGATGAGAGGCAGGGACCCTGAGGCCGCTTTGTCCTCGGCCACCGCCGAGCTCCCGTGCTGGTCCTGAAGACTGGTCGTTCACAGGCTGACCCCTTGGCCCATGAGCTCTGGGGTGGCACGGGAAGAAGGCCCTGTTCCCGTGTGACTGGATGCAGGGCACTCACGCGGAGCGCACCGAGCCTGGCGACAAGACGCTGCCAGCCCTGCTGCCCGTGGCCGGGCTTCATCCCCAGGGAGCGCTGGGCCTGCGTCCTCCCTGCGTGGGCTGGGCGCGTGGTTCTGAGGGCTTTGCCCCTCGAGACCTTGTGGTCTTCCCACAAGAGGCAGCCCTCCACACGGAGCCTGCGTGAGCCCGCGGGGCGCGGGTAAACCGCGGTGCGGGCTGTGCCCTGTCCTGGCGCCGGCCGGAGGTATTTCCAGCTGTGCGGCCACAGCCCCGTGTCTAATGATAGAACCCACTCTTCCTCTCTAGTGGAGGGAGGGCCCTCGCCCCACTCCTGAGAGGTGGCCTCAGCCCACGGGCCTGAGGTGTAGGGGAGGCTCGCATAGACAAGGGGGAGCAGAATGACGACAATCCGGCCCGGGGCGGGGCCCCAGGTGAGGGCGGGGCTGAGCCTGGGGGTGAGGCCGGTGTGGGGAGGCTGTGGGGGCAGCGTGGGGGTGGGGCTGTGTGGGAGGCTGTGGGGGCTGAGTCTGGGGGTGAGGCTGTGTGGGAGGCTGTGGGGGCTGAGCCTGGGGGTGAGGCTGTGTGGGGAGGCTGTGTGGGCTGAGTCTGGGGGTGGGGCTGTGTGGGAGGCTGTGGGGGCTGAGTCTGGGGGTGAGGCTGTGTGGGAGGCTGTGGGGGCTGAGTCTGGGGGTGGGGCTGTGTGGGGAGGCTGTGGGGGCTGAGTCTGGGGGTGGGGCTCTGTGGGAGGCTGTGGAGGCTGAGTCTGAGGGTGGGGCTGTGTGGGAGGCTGTGGAGGCTGAGTCTGGGGGTGAGGCTGTGTGGGGAGGCTGTGGGGGTTGAGTCTGGGGGTGAGGCTGTGTGGGGAGGCTGTGGGGGCTGAGTCTGGGGGTGGGGCTGTGTGGGAGGCTGTGGGGGCAGCGTGGGGGTGGGGCTGTGTGGGAGGCTGTGGGGGCAGCGTGGGGGTGGGGCTGTGTGGGAGGCTGTGGGGGCAGCGTGGGGGTGGGGCTGTGTGGGAGGCTGTGGGGGCAGCGTGGGGGTGGGGCTGTGTGGGGAGGCTGTGGGGGCTGAGTCTGGGGGTGAGGCTGTGTAGGAGGCTGTGGGGGTTGAGTCTGGGGGTGGGGCTGTGTGGGGAGGCTGTGGAGGCTGAGTCTGGGGGTGGGGCTGTGTGGGGAGGCTGTGGGGGCAGCGTGGGGGTGAGGCTGTGTGGGGAGGCTGTGGGGGCAGCGTGGGGGTGAGGCTGTGTGGGAGGCTGTGGGGGTTGAGTCTGGGGGTGGGGCTGTGTGGGGAGGCTGTGGAGGCTGAGTCTGGGGGTGGGGCTGTGTGGGAGGCTGTGGGGGTTGAGTCTGGGGGTGGGGCTGTGTGGGAGGCTGTGGGGGCTGAGTCTGGGGGTGAGGCTGTGTGGGGAGGCTGTGGGGGCTGAGTCTGGGGGTGAGGCTGTGTGGGAGGCTGTGGGGGCTGAGCCTGGGGGTGGGGCTGTGTGGGAGGCTGTGGGGGCTGAGTCTGGGGGTGGGGCTGTGTGGGAGGCTGTGGGGGCTGAGTCTGGGGGTGGGGCTGTGTGGGAGGCTGTGGGGGTTGAGTCTGGGGGTGAGGCTGTGTGGGGAGGCTGTGGGGGCTGAGTCTGGGGGTGGGGCTGTGTGGGGAGGCTGTGGGGGCTGAGTCTGGGGGTGAGGCTGTGTGGGGAGGCTGTGGGGGCTGAGTCTGGGGGTGGGGCTGTGTGGGAGGCTGTGGGGGCAGCTTGGGGGTGGGGCTGTGTGGGAGGCTGTGGGGGCTGAGCCTGGGGGTGGGGCTGTGTGGGAGGCTGTGGGGGCTGAGTCTGGGGGTGGGGCTGTGTGGGAGGCTGTGGGGGCTGAGTCTGGGGGTGGGGCTGTGTGGGAGGCTGTGGGGGTTGAGTCTGGGGGTGAGGCTGTGTGGGAGGCTGTGGGGGCTGAGTCTGGGGGTGGGGCTGTGTGGGAGGCTGTGTGGGGAGGCTGTGTGGGGAGGCTGTGTGGGGCAGCGTGGGGGTGGGGCTGTGTGGGGAGGCTGTGGGGGTTGAGTCTGGGGGTGGGGCTGTGTGGGAGGCTGTGGGGGCAGCGTGGGGGTGGGGCTGTGTGGGGAGGCTGTGGGGGCTGAGTCTGGGGGTGGGGCTGTGTGGGGAGGCTGTGGGGGCTGAGTCTGGGGGTGGGGCTGTGTGGGAGGCTGTGGGGGCAGCGTGGGGGTGAGGCTGTGTGGGGAGGCTGTGGGGGCTGAGTCTGGGGGTGGGGCTGTGTGGGAGGCTGTGGGGGCAGCGTGGGGGTGAGGCTGTGTGGGGAGGCTGTGGGGGCAGCGTGGGGGTGAGGCTGTGTGGGGAGGCTGTGGGGGCAGCCTGGGGGTGGGGCTGTGGGGGAGGCTGTGGGGGCAGCGTGGGGGTGAGGCTGTGTGGGAGGCTGTGGGGGCAGCGTGGGGGTGAGGCTGTGTGGGGAGGCTGTGTGGGGAGGCTGTGGGGGCAGCCTGGGGGTGGGGCTGTGTGGGAGGCTGTGGGGGCAGCGTGGGGGTGGGGCTGTGTGGGGAGGCTGTGGGGGTTGAGTCTGGGGGTGGGGCTTTGTGGGAGGCTGTGGGGGTTGAGTCTGGGGGTGGGGCTGTGTGGGGAGGCTGTGGGGGTTGAGTCTGGGGGTGAGGCTGTGTGGGAGGCTGTGGGGGCTGAGCCTGGGGGTGGGGCTGTGTGGGGAGGCTGTAGGGGTTGAGTCTGGGGGTGAGGCTGTGTGGGAGGCTGTGGGGGCTGAGCCTGGGGGTGGGGCTGTGTGGGGAGGCTGTGGGGGTTGAGTCTGGGGGTGGGGCTGTGTGGGGAGGCTGTGGGGGCTGAGTCTGGGGGTGGGGCTGTGTGGGAGGCTGTGGGGGCAGCGTGGGGGTGGGGCTGTGTGGGGAGGCTGTGGGGGTTGAGTCTGGGGGTGGGGCTGTGTGGGGAGGCTGTGGGGGCAGCGTGGGGGTGAGGCTGTGTGGGGAGGCTGTGGGGGCTGAGTCTGGGGGTGAGGCTGTGTGGGAGGCTGTGGGGGTTGAGTCTGGGGGTGGGGCTGTGTGGGGAGGCTGTGGGGGTTGAGTCTGGGGGTGAGGCTGTGTGGGAGGCTGTGGGGGCTGAGCCTGGGGGTGGGGCTGTGTGGGGAGGCTGTAGGGGTTGAGTCTGGGGGTGAGGCTGTGTGGGAGGCTGTGGGGGCTGAGCCTGGGGGTGGGGCTGTGTGGGGAGGCTGTGGGGGTTGAGTCTGGGGGTGGGGCTGTGTGGGGAGGCTGTGGGGGCTGAGTCTGGGGGTGGGGCTGTGTGGGAGGCTGTGGGGGCAGCGTGGGGGTGGGGCTGTGTGGGGAGGCTGTGGGGGCTGAGTCTGGGGGTGGGGCTGTGTGGGGAGGCTGTGGGGGTTGAATCTGGGGGTGGGGCTGTGTGGGGAGGCTGTGGGGGTTGAGACTGGGGGTGGGGCTGTGTGGGGAGGCTGTGGGGGCTGAGTCTGGGGGTGGGGCTGTGTGGGAGGCTGTGGGGGCAGCGTGGGGGTGGGGCTGTGTGGGGAGGCTGTGGGGGTTGAGTCTGGGGGTGGGGCTGTGTGGGGAGGCTGTGGGGGCAGCGTGGGGGTGAGGCTGTGTGGGGAGGCTGTGGGGGCTGAGTCTGGGGGTGAGGCTGTGTGGGAGGCTGTGGGGGCTGAGCCTGGGGGTGGGGCTGTGTGGGGAGGCTGTGGGGGTTGAGTCTGGGGGTGGGGCTGTGTGGGGAGGCTGTGGGGGCTGAGTCTGGGGGTGGGGCTGTGTGGGAGGCTGTGGGGGCAGCGTGGGGGTGGGGCTGTGTGGGGAGGCTGTGGGGGTTGAGTCTGGGGGTGGGGCTGTGTGGGGAGGCTGTGGGGGCAGCGTGGGGGTGAGGCTGTGTGGGGAGGCTGTGGGGGCTGAGTCTGGGGGTGAGGCTGTGTGGGAGGCTGTGGGGGCTGAGTCTGGGGGTGGGGCTGTGTGGGAGGCTGTGGGGGCTGAGTCTGGGGGTGGGGCTGTGTGGGAGGCTGTGGGGGCTGAGTCTGGGGGTGGGGCTGTGTGAGGAGGCTGTGGGGGCTGAGTCTGGGGATGATTCTGTGTGGGGAGGCTGTGGGGGCTGAGTCTGGGGGTGGGGCTGTGTGGGAGGCTGTGGGGGCTGAGTCTGGGGGTGGGGCTGTGTGGGGAGGCTGTGGGGGCTGAGTCTGGGGATGATTCTGTGTGGGGAGGCTGTGGGGGCTGAGTCTGGGGGTGGGGCTGTGTGGGAGGCTGTGGGGGCAGCGTGGGGGTGAGGCTGTGTGGGGAGGCTGTGGGGGCAGCGTGGGGGTGAGGCTGTGGGGGCAGCGTTGGGGTGGGGCTCTGTGGGAGGCTGTGGGGGTTGAGCCTGGGGGTGGGGCTGTGTGGGAGGCTGTGGGGGCAGCGTGGGGGTGAGGCTGTGTGGGGAGGCTGTGGGGGTTGAGTCTGGGGGTGGGGCTGTGTGGGGAGGCTGTGGGGGCTGAGTCTGGGGGTGGGGCTGTGTGGGAGGCTGTGGGGGCAGCGTGGGGGTGGGGCCGGTGTGGGAGGCTGTGGGGGCAGCGTGGGGGTGAGGCTGTGTGGGAGGCTGTGGGGGCTGAGTCTGGGGGTGGGGCTGTGTGGGAGGCTGTGGGGGTTGAGTCTGGGGGTGGGGCTGTGTGGGAGGCTGTGGGGGTTGAGTCTGGGGGTGGGGCTGTGTGGGAGGCTGTGGGAGCTGAGTCTGGGGGTGGGGCTGTGTGGGGATTCTGTGTGGGAGGCTGTGGGGGTTGAGCCTGGGGGTGGGGCTGTGTGGGGAGGCTGTGGAGGCTGAGTCTGGGGATGAGGCTGTGTGGGAGGCTGTGGGGGCAGCGTGGGGGTGGGGCTGTGTGGGGAGGCTGTGGGGGTTGAGTCTGGGGGTGGGGCTGTGTGGGAGGATGTGGGGGCTGAGTCTGGGGGTGGGG